TTAGGGTTATATAGCCAGTAAGTGTCCGAGGCCAGATTTGAACTCAGGTCTTCCTGACCTCAGGCGCAGTGCTCTATCCACTGTGTCACTTAGCTGCCCTATGCCATCTAGTTGTCCTTTACAGTATTATAGTGAGGATCAAATGAGATAACATATCTAAAGCAATTTGAAAACTTTAAAGGCATTACACAAATGCCAGCCTATTATTACTGTTTGTTATTTCATTTTGGTTTTGAGAAAGGATGCAGTAGAAAAAGTTGGTGGATTTGGAGTCAGATGACTTAGATTCAAATCCTGCCTCTCACCTTACCTGTGTGACCTTGGGTAAATCACTTGAACTCCCTAGGCCTCAGATTCCTCATCTGTAAAATGAAGAGGTTGGACTAGAGTGATCTCAAAGATCTCTTCCAATCTAAATCTAGGACCTTTTAATTTTGAATTCTTCTGAGTGCTTGGTGTTCCATGACTTAGAGCCATTCAGCATTGCTGGAGGGTTTTGGTCAATTCAACAAACCAACAAGCGGTTATTAAACACCTACTCTGTACCAGGTACTATGCTAGGGATACAAATCAAAAGCATGGTCCTTCCCAAGAACATTCAAAAGATGAAGTTCTACAAAGCAGGCAGACTTATGATGACTGAAAACATCGTTTTGGGGAGAGGATTTTGAACTTCCTAACACCACGCCCAGCTCTCAGTCCACTCTGCCCCCTTGGTAACTTGATTAAAGAAGGAAACAATACCACGTCCTTCAGTGAAGATGTACTGGAATACAGTAGGCAATTCATTTTGTGGGAAAAGGGGGAAGGTCTAGAGCAACAGTTCTGAAACTTTTTAGTCTCAAGACCTCTTCATATTCTTAAAAATTATCGAGACCTCCAAAGAGCTTTTGTTTACATAGGTTATATCTATTAGTATTTATAATATAAGAAATTAAAACTGATAAGATTTAAAAATATTTATTATTTAATTCAAAAATAATAGATTGATTCATTACATGCTTATAGGAATACATAGTTTAAATGAAAAATAACTATTTTTCAAAATAAAATATTAGTGAGAAAAGTGGTATTGTTTTACATATTTTCACAAATCTAATGTTTGACTTAATAGGAGATGAGCTGGATTCTCTTATCTGCTTCTGCATCCACTACATTGTGATAGGTTATTTTGGTTGAAGTACATGAAGAAAATCCAGCCTCATATAGATAAGCAGTTGCAAAAGGGAAGAGTGTTTTAATAGGCAAATAACATCTTAGTATTATTACAAAAATAGTTTTGACCCTCCAGACAACCTGAAAGAGTTTTGAGTACTCCCAGAGGTCTAAGGACCATATTTTGAAAACTACTGGTCCAAAGAGTACTCAGAGACCTCACTCAGGCCTGAGATTCTATGAATCTTAGAGATGATGGATCTTAACCTAACAACTCACGTCAATTCTAGCAATAAAAGCCTCTACTGCTATCTGCCAGGCCTTGCGGTAGGTGCTGAGGGTATAAAATGAAAGGCCCCACAGTCCCTGGACATATAACAGCAAGTAAAATGTGAACAGGGGAAAGAAAAAAATCTATATAAAGCGGTCTGGGATACTTATTTCAACCAAAGCATCAGAGAAGGCTCCAAGGAGAAATCACTTAAGATTCCTCATCCGTAAAATAAAATCTCTTAGCCTGCCTGGGCCTCAGTCTCCTCATCTGTAAAATGAGGGGGTGAAACTAGATGGCCAGTGAAGTTCCTCGATCTCTGATCCTGTGATACGTGGTTCCTGGGGTGGGCGTTGGAGGAGGAAAATAATTATGATAGAGGTGGAGAGGGAGCGTGTTTTAGGCCTGGTTGTGTGTTTGTCCTCTCAAAGAGGACCGTGCCATCAGGGAGATGATGGCATGACTTGTGATTGACTTTGATTTGAGTGAGTGAGGGAGGGCTGGGCAAGGTCACCAGCCTCACTTTCTCCTCCAGAGCCATCTGGGTCCAGCGGCCAGATATTCATCAGGACAACTGGAGATGGCCCAGGATGCAATGGGAGACCCTGGCCCTTCTAGGCTAAGGCCTTTTCAGGTTCTCACTTTAGACGTGGAGACGCTTCCTGAAGGCATGGAGAGGACAGCATGAGGTCCGTGGATTATCTTCACACCTGCATCCCCTCTCCCATCCCCCACCTCCCTTGCCTACCCCAGAGAGTGGAGCGGTACCTGGCAAGCGAGCTATCCCGGAGAGGAAGATCTCAGCCTTCAGGTCCCAGGCGTGGAGTGGCTGTTCAGAGAGGGTCTCTAAAAGCGCACAGTCTCTTTCTGGGAGGTCCATACTCGAACTGGATTTAGCACTGAAACCCTGGGTGGAGGAAGCTTCCTGGACAGATGTTTTGGTCTGACTGGAGCCAGCTATGTGAAAGAAAAGGAGGAAAAAAAACATCAAGTTTTCTAATGAGTGGGTTAGAGTAGGTGGCTGCTTCAAGGAGGAAGTTTCTTTCATAACAATCGGGTGGGCATGAATTTTAAAGGAACATCAGGAAACTGCTTTAGCAAGTAGGCACTGGTTTCTGGGTGTTGTTTTGTTGTGTTTTTGTTTTGTTTTGTTTTGTTTTGTTTTTTGTGCCTAGGTGCTGAAGAAGAAAATAACTACATGGGTGCCCCTGTGCCTCTGGAGGGCAGCATGGCTTGATAAATGCAGCTTTTTGAGGGGCTAATTAATTTTATACCATCCTAATCTCCCTTCACCTCTAGTTGGAGATTTGGACTTCTCAAAGTACTGAACTATTCACCACTGAATTCAGTCCTTATCAAATCCAGTGTACTGTAGTGTATTAGATTTGGAACCTGAGGCTCCGAGTTCCAATCCACTTGCTATCACTACAGTGAGGCAGGGTGGCCCAGTAGATAGAATGATGAACTTGGAGTCAGAAAGACCTGGGTTCTAAGCTTGCCTCTGACATTTGCTAGCTGGGGGACTGTAAGCACATCATTTTAACCTCTCTGAGCCTCATTTTTCTCATCTGTGAAACAGATCTCACAATAGGACCACAGGTTTGCAGCTGGAAGTAACTTCAGGGGTCAGATAGTCCAACCCTCTCATCTTACAGAAGGCAGATTAAGCACTGGGCCTTGAGTCAGGAAGACCTGAGTTCAAATCCAGCCTCAGACGCTTCCTAACTGTGTGATCTTGGACAAGTCACTTAACCATTGTCTGCTTCAATTTCCTCAACAAAAAATGGGGATAATAATAGCATTGTTCTACCAATGTTGTTGTGAGGATCAAATGAGATAATACATGTAAAGTGCTTAGCATAGTGCTTGTCACAAAGTAGACACTTAATAAATATTTGTTCTCTTCCCCTCCCTATACAGATGAAGGAACTAAGTCTGGGCGAGGTAATAGGACTTGGCCAAGGTCACACAGGTAGTAAGTGGTAAAGCTGAGATTTGAACATAGGTCCTTGGACTCTATATATACAGTACTCCTTCCACTATATTAAAGCTATTGTGAGGCTCAAGTGAAATAACGTATGCATATCTTAAATGCTATATAAATATCATCTATCACCTGTGTAACTCTGGCCAAGTAACTGCCAACTCTGAGCTTCATTTTTTTTATCTGCAAAGTGAGGGGGTGGGAGTAGAGGACCCTTAAGGTTCCTTTCAGTACTAAATAATCTGTACACTAGGAATGATAGCGTTTTTCTGTCAAGAAAGACTATTATATAATCCCCTCCCTGCCTCCCCTAGGGTCCCATGGAGTTACTTATGTGTAGTATTACCTTTCCCTGAGGATTTTGCTCTGCTCATTTTTGGGGAGTAAATAGAAGACATGATTTTCCAGGGTCCATTGTGCAGGTGTGTGACTTTCTCTGGGGGAGTAGGGTCCTGTGAAGAAGGGGATTGTCTCTGCCCTTTCAGAAATGAAAATTTCTGGTTGGTCGTGGGGGACCCGGACCTAGAGAGAATTCTACCAGAACTAGCTGGGGACTTGAGAAGTTTTAGGTAGCCTTGTAGGCCTGTCTCTTCTGTTCTGCTTTCCTGGTGTACCATTTTGTGAGCACAGGCTTCATGAAGTTGGGGAGAGGAAGCCCGGCTGGGGCTGCTTCTGAGCTGTGAGTTATCCAAATGCTTTCCGGTTGCAGGTTCCAAAGTCTGTTCATTCTTTGAGCTATCTGATTCTTCTTTGATGGCAGTCATCAGACCTGAACTGAAGCTTACTGGGTTCTGAAGAGCAGCCAAGTAAGACTCACGGTAACGACATCTTAAATTCTGGAACTGAGAAGATCCATTGAGCTTTCTCCTCAAGCATGGTGTACAGGGCCCATCCTCAGAGCTCTCTGGTTTCCCACAAGTCCATTTTTCAGACCCTGATGGGAAAGAAGGGGCCCCATTGACCGCTGATGGAGATGGCATCTTCTGGGTAGGAGATACTATCTGATTCTCCAGTGGTTCTTTGGTGTCTGAAGGAATGGACTCACTGGGATTCACTGCTGACTTATGTGGAGAACACCCTCTCCTCTCTTTGGAAATCTTGAGGAGATCCACATAATCCCCCTCAAGGTTCTGGTTGATCATCTCATCCATGCTAGGGGCAGCCAATATGTAAGATTTCTTCCAAGATCCTGTTTGTTCTACTTTGATGAGTCCTGGATACTTATTCCTGTTTGACCTCCAGGATCCTGTATCTTTATTATTGAGTATTGGCTGAGAGCTAGCTGTGCTGGGGGGCTTTGGGTTGCTACTGGACATTGTCTGGAGCATCCCTCTGGGAGTGCTCAAATCTAGTGCATCCAACTGGAGAGACACTTGAGAGAGGGAAGGATCAACCACTGTTTGGGGTTTGTTGATAAATTTGGGGGCAGTTATTTTTATCCAAGGCACAGGAGAAACCCCTTTTTCTGTGGCCACCAGGCAGCTATGTAGGGGCCCTCTCTCAAGGTCTTGGTTGAGACCCTCTAGCCATTCCTTGGTGAATAGAATTGGGTATGATGACTCAGGAACTGGTCTTTCTTCCACATTTCTCAAGTCCTTCGAAAGGCATTTAACCATGATGCAGACAGACTGTTCTTCATGGGGCTCTGCCTGTAGGTAGAAGTCTCCCTGACGTAATAGGAGGGGGTTCAGTGGTGCGAGGTGAACCACGACCTCTTCCCCAAGGCATAGGGGCCAACCCGTGTGTAGGAACAGGCAATGTGAATATGGAGCCTGAAGAGAAAAGACAATGAGAGTCAGTGAAGCAGGAAGTAGGAAACCCCGAGCTAGGATTCATTCCTTCCATTGTGCATATCTAGAAGAAGGCTTCCAAATATCTGTTGGCAAATCCCAGTCTATGTGCCCAGGGAAGAGAAAGGGCAGCTTAAAGAAGTGGTAAGTATACCTTTTCCATGTTATTCTTCCTGCCTGGCATCTGCTTTAAGCTCATCCATCAAGACTCAGTTCAAGAGGCCTTTCCAGGCTACTTCAGCCCTCACTGACTGCTCATATTTTTTACATACTTTTTATAGTGTTTGTAGAAGTTGTGTGAGCACAGGACTAGGAATCAGGAGATCTGGGCTTGAATTTCTACTCTTAACATTTATTAGCTATGTGATTAAAGGCAAATCACTCAATCTTTCTAGACCTCAGTTTCCTTCTCTATAAAATGATTAAAGTAAATATATCTGAGATCCTTTCTAGTTCTAAATCCTATTGAGGCAAAGCAGCTATTTTGTCGCTGGCAGGAATACAGAATGAAGTCATGCTATACCTTCAGTCTTACTTAATGAAGTTCCCAGGGTGGTGACTTCATAGGACACAATTGGCATCATGGGAATGGAAAAATGTGGAAAGAAATTTAATTGCTTTAAGTCAAACCATAGCGGCAAATAAGAAAGACTCTAAGGAATTCACAAGATAGATTTAAGATGCCCAACACCTTCTCTAGCAAGCCACTAGATACGGCTGGCTGAGGTCTGCATCATAAAAGAGCTAAAGATAACCCTTGGGTCTATAAGCTAAAGAAGCTGCATCACAGATGAAGATTGGTTAGTGAAAGCAGAGGCAATAGCAGTATAGGAGTCTAGCAGACAGTAAGGTGACAATATCACCAGAGGACACTGGCAGCTTTGTATCTTTGTAGGTTATTCCTTGGACACATGTACTGCCTATATGAGTGACCTCCTATGTGATTTCTCTGGTCATGTGTATTCTCTGCATGTGCCCCCTTACCCATTGACGGTGTGCTAATCTAGGGTAGAAGGTACTCCTGTATCTATGGGGATGGGGGAGAGATGGGGATCTTCCTTATCACATATTTTGTTATGATTTTTAATTGAATGCCTTTTACTTTGAACTACTGTGTCCTCTGGTTGGTATGGTAAAGGAAACACATTGGTTGTGTATATTGGTTTTGCTTGACATTACTTGTTTCAAAGAAGAGCTTCTAATTTTTTTGGGAAAATGATAGGTAGTAATAGTAACATAAAAAGTAGAAAAGAGCTTTGGCAAAATATGTAAAAATATACATAAGAAAGCAAAAGAAAGATCAGCAGGGGATATATACAAGCAGGGTAGTTTTATTATTGTTATGTTAAATCAAATATATATACCCCCAAATACCTGTATACAATATAAATTCCCAGTTTTATATACAATCCTCTTTTCTATTCTTTCTATACTGAAACATTCATGTACGTTGAGAATGTTTGTTGGTGTTTGTTAGGTTCATAATAAAAAGGAAAATTAAAATTTGTTTTTTAAAAAAGAAATATATTGATGAGGCTTCATAAACCATGGGTTTGAATGGCTGCTTGGCCCACAAAATGCCTCAAACCTGGTATAACTTTCTTAAGGCCCACATATGAGGGGAATCTGGGGTACTATGTTATCTTAAGAATCCATGGCTAAAGAGTTAGGACTTTATTCTGTAGAATAGAATTTCCCAAACTTATCTGACAGTGGAAATATTTTGGCACTTGAAATGTTTTAATGGAACCCATAAATTTTGGTCTAGGGGTGGGAATGCAGTCCAGGGAATCCCCTATGATAAAATGATTTGGAGAAATTTAGGGTCAAAATAAAGAGTGTTAAACTTGTTTTTATATCTCCCATAACAATGTGTAATAAATATTTTATTAATAAACATGTTTAATATTTTTAGATAAAATATTAATAACATCAATATTTTCTCAAAGAATCTCTATTACTATTGATATAGGACATAATTATATCTCATCTTCACTTCTATAAGTGGCATAAGATATTACCATATCACTTGCTCACTTCTAGTGACATGGGGCACAATCACTTCAACTTTTTTGTAGTAGAATGTTAGAAGATTGAGGGCAAGGACCATTTAAATTTTGTCTATGTATCTCTGGTGTCTATCACAGTGCTTGGTTCCCTTGTTGATTGATTCATTGCTTCCATTGTTATAGGATAGAATCCATTCACTATCCCACTCTCCACAATGGATATTCCAAAAATTCTCATCTCTCCTCAAGCTTCCCAAGGCAGCCCCTCCCCTACCCTCTCAGATGAGGACCTTACTGAGATCATTGGACAGGAGTTTCTCTCATCTTACACCTCTACTCCTCCTTCACTCCAGTCTCTGATAGGTGGTCCTTCGCCATCTCAAGGGAAAGCCCTCTACATGTGCCTTTGATTCTATCCCCTCTTGACTTCTTAAGAAAATTATCCTTATTATTTTCCCTACTCTCTCTTATCTTTGATCTCTTCCTCTGTCCTGGTTCTTTCCCTGATTCCTAAAAACATGCTCATGTCTCCCACATCCTTAAAAACTCTTATTTGATTCTACCTTTTCCCATTCATAGCTAAACTTTTTGAAAAAGCCATTTACACTGGATACCTTTGTTTCCTTTTCCCACAATCTCTTCATTTTTCTCTTCCGTAATCTGATTTCTGACCCTAACTGAAAATGTCCTCTCCAACAGGTCGGTTAGGTGGTGCAGTGGATAGAGCGCTGGGCTTGGAGTCAGGAAGACTCATCTTCCTGAGTCCAAATCCGAACTCAAACACTTACTGGCTGTGTGACTCTGGGCAAATCACTTAACTTTCTTTGCCTCAGTTTCCTCATCTGTAAAATGAGCTGGAGAAGGAAATGGCAAACTACTTCAGTATTTTTCCCAAGAAAATCCCCAAATGGGGTCATGAAGAGTTGGATACAACTGAACCACAAATGATCATTACGATATAATAATAATAATAATAATAATAAATAGCTAGTGTTTATATAGCACTTTAAGGTTTGCAAAGAACTTGACAAATATTTCACTTCATCTTCACAACAACCCTGGAAGGTAGGTGCTATTAGCCTCCTTTTGTAGTTGAATAAATTGAGAGAATAAATAACCTGCTCAGGCTCACACAGTCAGTAAGTTTCTGAAGCTGTGTTTGAACTCATATCTTTCTGACTCCAGGCAGGGCACTTTATCTATGGCTTCTTTGACAGGGTCTGTGACTTCTGAGTGCAAAGGTCCATGACCCTCTGGCACTCAGAAGGTATTTTTTTTCCAAAGTTAATTTATTTATTTTTAGTTTTCAACATTCACTTCCACAAGATTTTGAGTTCCAAAATTTCTCCCCATCTCTCCCCTCGCCCCCCAGAAGGTATTTTTAAGGATGCAGCTTGCCATAGTGAAAGCACTGCACAAGGCGTGCGTGCGCGCACACACACACACACACACACACACACACACACACACACACAACTTGGGAACACAGACAGGTACTTAGAGAATGCCATTCATGTAACCAGACATTCTCAGAGTTGTGTTCCTCTACCCCTACAGAGCTCTTTCCTGATTATATGGTTTTCTTGTTCTCCTTCCTGACAGCAGAGCAGCTTTGAAATATGAAGGCCACTCAAAAATAATGACTCAGAAATCTGCTTTATGTAATCTGCCTACAGGCCACCTCAGAAGGAGAGAGATCCTTACAGGGTTATTTTGGCAAGAGCTCCTGCCTTAATGCTCCAAAGATCACATATTCTGTCTTCATGATTGTGATAAGAGTATTCCTCCCTGGCTTGCCTTCCCTGAAAGGGTGACTGTAATTTGGCCTTCTTACATGAATCTGGAGGGTGGTGTGGACAGAGAGACCATGGGGGTAGGACGTGGCTCCCACCAGCAAGGGCATAGCCATCCTTCTTCTGTTTATTACTGTGACGTGTAGTAATTAGAGTCTTTATCATTGCCCGCTGTTGGTTGGTCACATGTCAATCAATTGTGTTGGCTAGCCCTTAAAACTCAAAACCTGCCCTGAACATCTCAGTGTGCCCACCGGAGGTTATGGACAAGCATTGCATAAGATGGGAAGGCATAGATGAGTCGTAATCACATTATTGAGATCATAGATCCATTTGAGAATCTGAGAACTCCTCCCAACTCAAGAAAGTTCTTGGCAGAATTCCCAACAAAGAGTGTTCCTACTCATAGTAATGTACTTAATAAATGCTTGTTAATTGACTAGTTGATCACACTCCCAGCATGTGTATGTTCACATTTATTATCGTTCCACTTCTCCCTCTGCCTTGTAACCCCAAACCCTGTTCTTCATCTACACTGTGACCTCTAATCCCTTCACTCCTCAGTTCTTTCCCAAGCTACCACTCCTGTACTAGCTATGCTCAACTGCTTTCCCCATCTTGATCCTTTGATAAATCATTTCATGTATATGAGCCTGTTCTCTTAAATACCCTACTCTTTTATCCTGTTGTCGAACTTGCCCTGCCAAGCCTCAGCCTTGGATTACTCCCACTATCTGTTGCCTTCACTGCTACACACACACGCACACATGCTGCTGAATGAAGTGAGGGGCAGGAGGTAGGGGAAATCATGTAATTGTGATGGCTGCATCCACTACAAATATATGTGATATAACTTCAATTGAGCCCTCATTTTTTACACTTGCCTAATTAACTCACTATCCCACTCACTCCAGTGGCTTTCAAACCTTTACATCTCTCTTCAAACCCTCCATGGCTCTTCCTACTCCTACCCTCTCAGCTGAGAACCTTGATTCATATTTTACTTAAACTTTAACTTAACTTTTACTTAAACTTTAACTAACGTTGCTTGAAAATTGAGACCACTAGTCAAGAGCTACCTCTTCTTCTCCCCCCCTCATCTCACATCACCCAGATTGCTTTTTGCCGCTATCTCTTCCTTCACCCCTGTCTCACATGAAGAAGCAGTGCTTCTCCTTGC